ACTAATATATACACAAAAAAATTCGGCCGATATTTCGGTTTCTGGTTTTTTTTTTTTTTTTTTTAACTACCTAATATCGGTATCGGCTCCAAAAAACCCATATCGGTCGGGCTCTAGTGGACATGTTCTGTGAAGACCAGAGAGCTTAAAAAGGTCTCCTAAGCAATCTCAGTCTGGTCTTTGTCTTCTAGGTGGGGGAAGTCAATCCAAAAAGATTGTGATTACTATCACTGGTTTACATGTGATGGTCATGCTGTGCATCTCTGACCGTTAATCTTGATTACTCGCCCCAAAATTGACAATCTCCTTGGAATTGTCAATAAGTGTTCTTTTGTTTAAATGCTGTGAGCTACTCAAAGCTGCTAGTTCAGGCTTGTGGCGCCAGGACCTGATTTACGAACGTCTTGGGTCTTTCTGTGGAATTCGGCTCCTCGTGTTTCAACCATGTGCTTGATTGAATCTTAAATTGTCTGATCCCCTACAATGCTCTGGTGTGTTTCTCTCAGGCCTGAAGCAGGCTGTGGAGACGGTGAACGACTACAACCCTCTGATGAAGGACTTTCCCCTCAACGATCTCCTGTCGGCCACTGAGCTCGACAAGATCCGTCAGGCGCTGATGGCCATCTTCAATCACCTGCGCAAGATCCGGAACACCAAGTACCCCATCCAGCGCGCGCTGCGTCTGGTGGAGGCCATCTCCAGAGACCTGAGCTCTCAGCTGCTCAAAGTGCTGGGCACTCGCAAGCTCATGCACGTGGCGTACGAGGAGTTTGAGAAGGTACGGCATAAGACCTGTATGTACTAGAACCAAATCAGAACACGGATTTCAGTGCCACTTAAATTCCTAGGAATGTTAAATCCACACATTTAAAACGTCAAGGTTTCAACTGCATCTGTCTAGAAAAAAAAGCAGAGATTGATTTTATTAGGCATTTTCAAGGCTTTCTTTTACTCATTAAAAAAAGAACTTGAATAATATTTATTAGGGATGTAACGATATTTTTGTGGTCACATGACGATATGAAACGATAGGTCTTCCGGGCAAAAAGTGTAGTTTTAAAAATATATTTAAACTTCTTGTTCTAACATAAGAGGTCTTTAAAGTTGTGTTTTGGGTCATTATGCTTTGGCACAGTATCTGTCAAACGAACTAAAACCGAAAGCACAATATGCTCAATCCCTTCATCAAGTCTGTTTCAAAGTGAAGCACACACTTGGTTCAGACGATCAGCTCGTGATCCGGTGTTTTCCGCGTCTCAGAACGACTCGTTCACACTGAATGAATGCAGTCCACTCCTTTATTTCATGTGCTGGGAGTTTAGTGTGCGTTTGGGAACACAACAGCCACCAGTTATGCTTTATTTTTGCAGCAGATGATTAAAGCGTTTCACTAGATTTGTAGTGAGATGTGTTTTTGTAAGCATGTTTTCACTGAAGCTGGAGCTTTGCTTCAAAATAAAAGCTCTTAGTTAAGAAACATGGGTTGGAGCTCTTAATTTTGAGCTCTCAAAGTGCATTAGATAGAAGAATTTAACTTTAAAATGTACAAAATTCAAATTTTTTTTCCAAATCTTCGTTTGTCTTTTTTCTTCTTTTTTTTTTTTTTTTTTTTTTAAATATCGCAATAAATACCGTATTGTGGACTTGATATCGCGATGATTTTTTTTTCTTTTTTCAATCATTTCTACACAGGAGAGACTTAATGTTGTTTCAAAACAAAGGGAAATATATATCGGTATCGGCTATTGGCCAAAATTAGTTGAAAAATGACGGATATTGCGAAAAATGTAATATTCATCTCTAAAAACAATTTTTTCTTTTTAAAGTATCGTTTTAGGCACCAGTAGCGTTTTAAAAGTATCGATTTGTATCCGGTATCATAAAAATCCAAAGATACCCAGCCCTACTCTCCTCCCGCAGCGATGCTCTGCAGCTCACGCCTCACGCTCTCCTTCCTCCGCAGGTGATGGTGGCGTGTTTCGAGGTCTTCCAGACGTGGGAGGACGAGTACGAGAAGCTGCAGGTGCTTCTGAGGGACATTGTGAAGAGGAAGAGGGAGGAGAACCTGAAGATGGTGTGGCGTCTCAGTCCGGCCCACCGCAAGCTCCAGGCCCGCTTGGACCACATGCGGCGCTTCAGACGGCAACACGAGCAGCTGAGAGCCGTCATCGTTCGTGTGCTCAGACCTCAGGTATGACTCTGACGGATTCTGGATGTGATTATTCTGATGCTGTGAAGTTCTGATCTCTCGTTCTGTTGACCAGTCAAAGATTAAGTGTTTCCCGACAAGCCTCAGATTGACAACAGACCGGACTGACATGACATGGTCTATCATGACATTTCAGTTCATATTAATGTGACCCTGGACCACAAAACCAATCATAAGGGTACATTTTTTTGAAACTGAGATTTATACAGCTGAATAAATTAGCTTTCCATTGATGTATGATTTGTTAGGATAGGACAATATTTGGCCGAGATACAACTATTTGAAAATCTGGAATCTGAGGGTGCAAAATAATCAAAATATTGAGAAAATCACCTTTAAAGTTGTCCAAATGAAGTTCTTAGCCATGTGTATTACTATTCAAAATTAAGTTTTGATATATTCACGGTAGGAAATGTACAAAATATCTT